CAACTCCGACGTGTTGCTCAACCCAAGGTTTCTCAGCTCAGCGTGTTGCCCATGTGCAAACAGTCCTCCCCAACTCTTCTCCTCCCATCACCCCTGTGTCTAATCGATGACTGAGCTTTTCCAGACCTACTGCGGAGCACCCTCTGAGTGTAGCCCCAGAAAGCAGCACGGTGCAGGCCTCACCTCCTGCTTCTGGAGCCACAGAGGGGTTCTCCATCCTGCTGGCGTTGGAGTGTGAATCAGAAACTAACAGTTACTCACCGTGCTCACTCTCCTCTGCTTCGTCTAGCAACAAGTCCCCAGAAGTATGGTTGAACTCATGGCTGAAGAGCACAGAAGTAACATTTTCCAGCGGCCAGTTGAGGCCATGTGATGGTTTTGGCCATTGCAATCTGAGCAGATATAATGTATACCACAATGCAAACCATGTACTGTGTCCTGAAAGAGAAGAGCTTGCCTTCCCTTCCTCTTTCTGGCTTTCTGTGGACTGGAATGCAGTTTCGATGGCAGGAGCTAGTGCAACCATAATGAACCACATATTGAGGATGGCAGAGCATCAAAACTAAGGCACCCAGGGTTCCTGAACAACTTTATGGGAAGAGCTGTAATACAAGCTGAAGCCTTTACTCGACAGAGAAGGAAACTTCTATCACATTTAAATGTTTGATAATTTGGGATCTCTGTTATGGAAGATGAACTAGTATCCTAAACAATAGAGAGCTAAAGCGATCTTTAGCCCATTTCTGTAGCATTTTCCAGCTATGAGATCTTGGGTAAATTAATCTTTCTAAGCTTTCGTTTCCTTAGTTAGTTGTATGTCTATTTCTCAGGGTCATTTTAGAAATAGATAAATGAGATCACAATAAAACACTTAATACAACATCTAACATATACTTGGAGTTCAGTGGGTACTGAAACACAGCCCAGCTATCTTTGCAAAATGCCAGCATGATCCCATGGCCCCTCGATTAAGAACCTTCAAACACTTCCCCTTCCCTCACAACAAACACTAACCCTCTCGCATGACCCAGGAAGCCCTCTCTCCCATCCACCCTCTCTGCCTCAACCTCCCCCACCCCGGCGTCCTTTGGCTACACTGACCTTGTTACCTCGCTCCTTCCACAAACATTGATGGGGCGGCCTCCCACATACCAGACACTGTGCTGGGGCTCTAGATGCAGACCTAGGTCCTTGCTCTCAGGGACTATCGTCTAGTGAGGGAGGGGAAAAAAGATCAAATAAACAAGATATGTAGCTAATATTTACTGTTTGCCAGGTGCTGCCCCAAGCCATTTCTACAGGTATAGACTCTCGCTTCCTACAAGAACCTGAGTTGGGTGCCACGGTTACCATCCACATTTACAAGATGTGGAAACAGAAGCAGAGCCATCAAGCAACGTGCCCAAGGTCACACAGCTAGTAAGATGGAGCCAAAACCTCAACCCAGGCGACCTGACACCTCAGCCTGTGCGCTTAACCACTACTCCTCCTGGCCTTCAAACGAAGGTCAGGTTGCAACTGTCACACCTGCCACCCAGGGGAGGCACATAGGGTCAGACACACCCTGCTCCTCCTGCCCCTGGACCTTGACACATGCTGTTTTCTCAGCCTGAAACACCTCTTCTCCCTCCTCTGCCTAATTCACTTCTGTCCACCCTTGGAACCCTGGCGTTTGGGAAGTGTCACTCCTTAAGGGACACCTTGCTCCTCCCCCACAAGGCCCCCTAGATCCATTAACAAATTCTTGCTGCATGGCTTTCCCCCGGGCACTTATCCCATCATAGTTCCGTACTTGCTGATTCTTTATATGTCTTCCCCACTCTCCCTCCCCCACTGCCATTAGACCTGGGTGCTGCGAGGGACACGAACACCCCACTATTGCTCAGTGCACATAGTGGGTGCTCAATATATATCTGGTGAATTAACTGACTGACTGGTTGACTTACCTCAAGGTAGCCCCGAGGGCTCCACCAGCTCGAAAGCTCTATGGCTGTGAGGCTTTCTCCGTGTCTGCCGGGTGGTCTCCTGCCTTCCTCAAGGGCCTCTGCCCCATGTGGCCCCTGCTCCTAATGTCCCCAACCAGCCCAAGTTCCCGGAAGGAGGGGCCGTGGTGCTGCCAGGTCAATGCAGGATATGGGCCTGGGGGAGGGCAGGGGGCTGGCGACCTCACAGACGCCCCCTAGTTTCCCAGGACCCGATCCAGGAATGAGAGATTTCCCAAGTCTGGCCCGGGAGTCAGGGAGTGGAGCAGAGGCTCGGAGGAGGGCCCAGACCCCGGACATCCTGTCTCGATGGCCAGAGATGATCTCTAAACCCCATAAAAGCTGGAGCCGTGGAGGCGGCAGTACCATCATCCCCACGCGCTGTGGTCTGGACTCAGGAGCCAGCGAGATCAATATCACTCGGGAGGCTTTCAGTTCCAAGTTCTCTCTGCTGCCAAGTCTCCCCAGAGGCCCAGAGGCCCAAGGAAATGGTGCGGAGGAGGCAGGAGGCAAAGGAAAGGAAAGGAAGTGCATATTCCTTGAGGGCCTGCAGCCCAGCAGTAGACCCAGGGCCGTGCTGCGTTTTCTCCATCCTCACACCAGCCCTCCGGGGGAGGCGTTATCCCATTTTACAGATGAGAACACTGGGGCCCAGAGAGAGAGAGAAAGCTCTCCCGAGGTTCCAGCAGAGTCAGAACCAAACCCAGCTCTCCCAAGGTCCCAGCAGAGTCAGAACCAAACCCAGCCCTGCCTGGTTCTGAGGCCAGCGCTCTCCCAGGCAGGGCCCAGCCACACCTGCACTCTGGGCTTGGCCGGGAAAAGGGGGATCTCTGAGGCTGTGCCTGCGGCCACACCCAGGATGGAGGCTAGGGAGGGTATTCCGCAGGCCTTCTCCCAGACACCTGCAGGGACGGGGAGCTCACCCCTCTCAAAGCATCCCTTTCTGTTACCAGCAGCTCCTCTTGCTCTGACCTCCCTGCAGCCCTCACCTGATTGGCAGGTCTGGGGGGGAGGGCAGGGCAGGGGCTCTGCCTTCCTAATAAACTCCCTGGTGATGCCACACAGACAAATGGAAAGGTCCCTTGGGTCTCCTGTGCAATATGGGGTGTCAGGACTGCTCCCTTCCCTAACCTCAAGCCCTCTGCTGCAGCCCCAGACATCTCCCCTCCTCGGGGCCCCACCCTGCCTCACTGCTTAGTCCCCTCAAAGCCAGGCTAGATCAGCCTAGCTCCCAGGCCATAGCCTGTCTGTCTCATCTCTCTCTCAGGCCTGCACCAGGCCCAGCCACAGTATCCACATCACTCCACAGCTGGGGAGCATCCGAGGGTGACCTCCCCATCACACACTAGGAGCCCTGTCCACTCCCTGGAAGGCAGCCCCACTGCCCTGCGCCCTGATGATCCTGTCTGAGTTTAGTCTCCTGCCCGCCCCTCACGCATCATCAGTCTTTCCTTCCCTTCTGAAGCGAACCCTGAGAGCCCAGGAGGAGGCGAGAGCTAGCCAGCTTGCCTGGGGTCACAGCCTGGCTCTGCCGCTCACTCACCAGCTTTGTGGTACTGAGCAATCTCTGAGCCTCTTTGAACCCCCTTTCTTCCTCTGTAAAATGAGGACAAGGACAGCCCTTATCTCACCGGGTTTGTGTGCATGAGAAAACACACATGCTCAGCGAGGTCTGCCAATGCCAGCTGTCGCCAGTAGTGACAAGCACCAGCTGTGCCCATTAGAAGCAGTGTGACCTCTCACAGCCTCAGTTTCCTTATCTGTCACTTGGGTCTAATGCCACCTGCCTCACAGGTGCATTGGGAAGATGAGACCTGACAATGGCTAGCACATAGTAGGTCTGGAATACACAGTCCTCCTCCACCACGGGCAGCGGCCGGGCTTCTTTGTCTTTGTATATCCCTCACAGGAGTTCTCTGAGGACAGACTGAGGGCCCAGGGGGCCCAGGGATGCTTTTAGGGGTTGTGTGAGGTCAAAACTACTTCCTTAGTAATACTAAGCTCTCGTCTTTTTCACTCCGAGAGGTACGTGTGTGGTATCACAACAAAGGGAACCCAGGAGCCAGTAGAAGAACCCGCTGCCTTCTGAGAAGCCAGGCGTGAGAGAGCTTTGGAAAACGAAAAACAGTGTTACTCTTTACCCCAATCTTTTTTGTTTTAGATAACATCACTTTTCATAAAATTTCTATTTATGTTCAGATGTCGTCAGTTGAATATTGCTATGGAAGGGAATTGGTAGACATTTTTTAAATGTTCTCAGTTTTCATTTAGAGCATGGTAAGTATAGAAAGGTAGGACCCATATGGACAAAAGCTCTTTGGGGTCCTCAATGATTTTTTAGTGTAAAACTGAGACCAAACAGTGGGAGAAGCTGCCCTGTGCTCACTGTGCTGGCCCACAGTGGTCTCGGCACCCATGTGCTCGAATCAGCCCCGAGCCACCTCCCAGCTGCACTGTCAGCTCGATGGGCAGCTGGAGCTGCCACGTGAGCATGTGCGATCTCCCAGGGCACCCTGCCCTGCGCTGGGCATGCCTCGGTAGGTACCACCCCAAACTTGCTGAATGGCAAAAACTTCACCCAGGACCACCGGGATGGAACTTGCCTACGAATTGAGCCGAGTCAGAGCCGAGGGATGGAGACACATTCCTGGTTCCACTGTTTGAGCCCCTGGGTCCAGCGGTGCTTGCTTCTTGGTCACAGGGGCCAATACATTCCTTTTTTATTTTCGTAAGCCAATTTGAGTTGAGTTTCTCTTCCAGCAGAAAGGGTCCAGATGAAAACTCAGTCATCAGAACCAAGGCCTGGAGGTGGGAAGCGGCTGGGAGGACCAGGGGAGTGGTCCGTCCGGTGGAGGCAGCCCTGGAGCCACAGCCAGAGCGTCGGGGATGGCTGGGAGGACCAGGGGAGTGGTCCAATGGAGGCAGCCCTGGAGCCACAGCCAGAGCGTCGGGGAGGCCGTGTTTTGCCCACCAGAGACCTGGCAGACCCCTTTCCAAACAACACAGCTAGACAACAGCCCAGGTTTTCTTTCACTTTATCATTTATAAAGCCATACAATGGATCGCAAAGAAACAAAGCCGCCGACAGGAGCAGGCAGCCTCGGTGTACAACACATTCATGTCCAGGGTAAGTAGCATATCAGGGTTTATACAAGGCGGCCGAGGCTATAGGCACAATGATACAAAATAGAAAGTATATTTCCATCTATATAAATACACAGTCAGGGCACGGGAGGAGGGCGGGTTATTCTGGTTTTCCTGCAGAGGGAAGGCCTGGAAGGCAGGGGAGGTGGGGAGCGGGGGTGAGGAACTCCTTACATTTGTTTTGAATGACACATCAGAGGGAGGGGAGAAACAGGGAGACGCATGCAGACACTGATGTGCTCTGAGCACACACACACACAAACCCAACACGGACACAGGAGAGTCTCAACTGCTTAACACTGATTAGAAACCCAACTTGGGACATCCCTCTACAACTGCCTCACCGCTGGGACGAGCCAGGCGTGGGAAATAAGCACAGGTCCTCCAACATTTGGGTCATCTGAGGACCGCAGAGCCCACCCCATCACCAACGCTGAGATTCCACCCGTAAGGGCCCTACAGGCCTCGCCTCCTGATTCCTTGCGCCTGATGATACTGAACTTGACATCCTCCTATTGCCCACCTCCTCCAACCCAACCCTGAAGATCCCTAGAGAGATGCGCAAACTACTCACACACATACACCCGCACCTGCACGCACGAGCACACACGTCCTGTGTTACCACTGCCAGGGGACTCTGGTCTCGAGATTCCGGGGCCTGGCCCTGAGTGAAGAGTGGCTCCAGGGCCCGGCCTCTGACCTCTCCAAGGACCCCGAGTGTGGGGAGACGCAGGGGCAGAGGCTGCCCTCGGACTCGGGCATTGGCCCCCTTGATCTCCCCAGCTTCTGAAGCTGGGAACAAAGGGAGGAGACCCCGGGGCAGGGTGGCGGTGCACATCAGGGCATAGGTGTTGTCCCACCTGTGAGGAGTCTGCCCATCTCTGCTCATGCCCATCTGAGGGAGGAGAACGCCCCCTCATCTCCCTCCTGGGAGCCCCTTCCTGGAAGGGCCACACTCGTTCAGCCAGCTGCCTCCTCTTCTGGTGGCACAGCCACCAAGCCCATCACCCTGTCCTGCCAGCTTCTGACACACCCAGGGACTCCCCAAAGCCCAGTGTGGGAGGGATCCTGGCCGTCCACGAGCTCGGAGCGGCTGCAGGAAAGGCTGCCATGAGGACCAGGTCAAGGCCTTTCCCAAACCCGGGACAAACACTGGCTAGACAAGGGAGCCAGAACACATGACCTCAGGGGAGGGGATGCCAGTCACCTTGGAGGCTGATCAAACAGCTCACTTCCTCCCTATTTCCCCCCTGGGGTCTGCTCTCCATTGTTCCCATTCCCGGTCCTCCCCTCTCCTTCCACCTGGGAAGAGCCACGTGGAGGCACTGGGCCTGCCTCCCTGCCTCAGAGGCCTGGCTGGACGACAGCCAGAAGCAGGCGGGGCCTGGGCCTGGGCTGAGCCCGCCTGGGGCCCTGTGGCTGAGTCACACGCTGACCATGCCTCTCCCGGACCCGCCCCACCCCACGTCCCAGCCTACTTTCAAGACCAGACAGCACTCTCCTGGCTGACAAACGGGTTCAACACTAAACAACAGCAAATATGTTGAGGGAGGGGGAGGAGAGAAAAGGATAAACATTTACACGATAATAACAATAATTATTAAAAGTGCTTTCTTTTAAAGGACATCTTTGGCAAGAATATACTGCAGTGCTGCGGTGTGTGTGTGTGTGTGTGTGTGTGTGTGTGTGTGTGCACTTGTGCGCATGGGTGCACGGGCCCAACCTGTGAGACGGGAGGACTACAGTGTCTTCCCAGCCAGTGTCTGACCCAAAGCGGGGACCTCGTGGAGACTGAGGTGCCTTCCCCATTCCTCTGGAAAAGCCAAACTCTAGGAAACCAGCTCCCTCCAGAGTGACCCAGAGAGGGAGAGAATCAGCTCCCCAGCACCCCTAGGTCCTGCTTGTGGGGTCACCCTTAGCTCAGGCCCGAGGTGGGCTGCGGTGGGCGGTGGGCAAGCATGTGAGAAGGCTGACCCTGGGCCCGGGTCTGCCCGATGGTCTAACCCTCCGCTGGCCTCAGGGTGGAGAGGACGTCCAGACTAGGAGGAGTGTCCCGGACTGTCCAGTGGGAGGTTAGATATTGACAAAGGAAGGGGTGGAATCTCTCCTATGGAAGAGAGAGGGGGAGGTGGGGAAGGGGGAGAGGGAACCTCAGGATCTGGCTTGAATGCCTCAGAAGGAAGAGCACTTTGGAAGAACCTTAGTCACCAAGCACAAGGTTTCAATCTTTGGGAAGCGGGGGGCTGCTCCCCGTCTTCGTTAGACACTCTCCTTTCTAACTCCCTGAAACAGTATGTCCACACAGATACAGCTTCTTGGAGGAGAAAAAATACAAAAGACGCACACACTCCCCATGCCCACCACACTCACCCATGTCCCCCGCTGGCTCACACACCCGCTCCAGCCCTGGTGAGGGGGCTCCTCTCGGGACCTAATGGCCAAGGCCTAGGCTTGCCAGAAAAGAGGGGGCCAAAGGAGATGGAACACGTGCACCCCTCCCTGCTGAGCCCCCGACAAAGTCTAGGGAAGGCCAAGGCCAGGGCAAGGAGACCCCTGATTGCTCCAAGGATAAAGGCCCCTACATTTCAGGCTTCCCTTATATATAGAAAGAGGGATGGGAATTGGTTTTTGCCCAGGGAGGCAATAAAGCAATATGGGAAAACAATAAATACCTCTTGTCAATTTACCTATTCTTTTTTTAACCTTTTCTTATATTTTATTAGCTTACAGATTCTGTCAGTATGTCTCACATATATATTATATATATTTATATATCAGTACAATGCCTCTCTCCAAGGGACCCCTGGAGGCTCAAGAAGCCCCTCGAGAATGGAGTCCTGGTGACTTTTCCATTCCAGCTGAGAGTACTTGGGTGGAGGTCGGGGGGTTCCCAATTGCCCAGGCGGACTCTAGGCCCTCTGCTCCTGGGCAGCTTGTTTCTGCTGGGGAAACCAAGGCAGAAGTGGGAACAGCAAGGCTTTGGTATTGTAAATAGGCCATGTGGTATATAGGCAGCAGCCCAGAGCTCTGCTGAGTCACCTGGACAGCCCAGCAGAAGTCAGGCCCCAAACCCCGGCAGAGGGGAGGACAGGACCCCAGGCATCCCCTGGGCCTTGCTGAGCAGGGCTCTTGGAAGCAGGTTCCCCAGGATGAGCCCAACAGGAGGACCCTGCAGGACAGAACAGAGCTGGGCAGATCAGAAGGCTCAATCCCCAGCACCCAAGAAGACATCATGCAGATAAGCCGGTCTGAGATAAGGCTGGTGTGGTCTTGGCAGCCAAGAATGGGCTGAGGGCTGAGAGCTGGGGGGAGTGGCCTGCCCACCTTGCCACACAACTCGGGGAAGATGCCTGGAGGTCAAAGCCACTGTGGCTGATGGGTCTCTTCCCCGAGGCTATGGAAATGCACGTCTCCATCTCCTCCAACCAATGGTCCCGCCACTCCTGCCGGGGTCTTTGCCAAGGAGAAGGCGCTGGCGGCACGCGGGGCCACTAGAGCGCAGGTGCGGGGGGGACCAAGTCAGAGCCTGTTACCCATATTCCTGGGTGCTCCTGGGGAAGAAGGCTGGCGTCCCCTCCCTGATGCTGGGTCACCCCAACTCTGACCTCTGGACAGTATGCACATGTGTGCAAATGTGGAACATGGACAAGTACACCTGTTTATAAATTCTAGCTGAGAGTCGAATATAAATCTGAGTGTGAGGGTGTGGGAGCAGATATATACACAACCCTACATACATTCCCACACAAACTGTACATCAGAGGCAGAGCAGAGAGGCCTTAGGTACCTCGGGTCTGAGATACTTTCAAAGCAAAAGTTCTGCCACGTGACGTCCCATGCTGGCTCCTTTTGGTTTGACAATGTACCCTAGAGGGGGCCAGAAAAAGATTCTCTTGACTTGATTTCTCCTTGCAAAGCAGTTGGGCTATGGAGACACTTTTCCATTTCCCCCCAAAATATGGGTCCCCAAGGAGGCCAGCTCTGCCTCCTGTGAGGGTGAGAGGGAGTTAGGTGGACCTGCTTCGTTTTGGAGACTTTGGGGGTTGCGCAGTAGCCATCTACCCAAGGGAATCCGAGTTATCCTCCTCCATCCTTTTCTTTCTTTCTCTCCCTCTCTCCCCCGCCCCTCCTCAATTCACTTCCCTCTCCCCATGTCACACTTTCTTCTCTCCTTCTCCAAAATTGGTCCAAAGTCCTCCTTCTGGATTCAGAGATGGTCAGGATTCATGGGTCCCCTCCCCACATGCCCCATCCCCACTGCCCTGGCCCGGGGCATGGGGTGAGTTCATCTCTTCTGGCCGGCACTCAGCATGACCTTGGAGACGAAGTTGACAATGGCGGAGGCAGGCTGGTTGGGATCAAGCTCAGCGAAGAGGTGGCAGGCGTTGTCCGTGGTGCTGCCCTGCTTCCGGGCCACAAAGCCGAAGAGCCTGCAGGGGCAAGAGAGGGGTGACAGGTGTGTGGGGAGGGCAGGAGGGGCCAGGCCTTGGAGAGGTGCCCAAGTGAGCAAGCTTATCTTCAGGCTGACCTCTCCCCGCATCTGTCCACATCTCCTGAGCACAGGGATTGGGGTGGGGGAGACCAAAAGAGAACCCTCTCTCTCTTCCACTGACAAGACAGTCAAGTGACAAGAAATGACAGTGGCACTGGTTTCAGGGGAGGCACAGAAATTCCCCTTTTGCGGTGGGGTGGAGGAGGAGTAGGGAGGAGGAGCTGCAGGCAAGTGACAAGACTGGACAGAGAGGTGGAAACGAGACCAAAAATAAAACGGGGACATTCCTAGCTGAGCTTCTCTCAGTCCATCTCAGCCCCGCCCCTACCCAACTGTTCTTACACACCACACAAATGCAAATGAATAAAATGCCGCCTGCCTGTCAAAGGGCTGGGCCTCCTCAGACACCTGGAGACAGTCAGGGAGACAAAAGGACAAGGGTCACGACCCTCCCCCCCACCACACACGCATTTCTCTTGGGCTCCGGAGAATGGGAGGAGGGGGAGAGAGACCCCACACCTGTTCCCCCAACCCCCACTCCCTGCACCAAGGCTGGAGTTGAGCTGGCATTCTCTCTGCAAAACAGAGTTAAAAATATGAGAGCAGAGAACAGAATGTGAGCTCAGGTCCCCTCCTAGCCAGCATGTTGCTAATTAGAGTGAGATGGGGCAATCGGGACAGCTGGGGATTCCGATGGAAACCCCTCTCCCTGGGGCTGGACCACAACAGCCAAAATTAGAAAAGTTAGGTCGGGCTTGCAGCCGTGCACATGCATGTGTGTACACACCCTGGGCTTCCTACAGCTGTTTCAGGGCCTGGGAATCACTGAGCCAGAGGTCTGGGGCAATGGTCTAAGTAGTGGAAAAGCCTGGGGCCACGACCAACCCCTGAATCCCCTTTCCAGGCTTGCTGGGCTCCTTGGTGCAGTGGAGGGCCCTCAGGGCACCAGGGGGGAGAGGCTCTGAGCTGTGGGCATGAAGGCACACCAACCCTGGCGGCCAGGTTCTGCCATGGTGGAGAGTCTGCCAACCTCATAGCCTCAACACCACCGGCCTCCCTCCCTTGATGTTTACGTCAGCTCCAAGGCTCCCAGGGCCAGCTCAACAATAGCCAATTCCTTTCTCTGCTTAGGGAAGTGGGTCCAGGCAAGAAACCTCAACCCCAAGGGCATGGAGGAGCACTTACAAGGACCTGAGAGTTAGACCTTCCTTACTTCAGGGCCTCAGGCATCCGTGTGCCTCACCCTAGTCCAGTGGTCGGCAAACTGCGGCTCGCAAGCCACATGCGGCTCTTTGGCCCCTTGAGTGTGGCTCTTCCACAAAATACCGACTTCTACGCATGGGCCACAAAGTTTCAATCGCACTGTACATGTGCGCCCGGAAGAGCCACACTCAAGGGGCCAAAGAGCCGCATGTGGCTCGCGAGCCACAGTTTGCCGACCACTGCCCTAGTCCCATCCCCAGCCGGCTCCCTGAGCCAGTGGCCGGCCAGCAAGGCCAGGCCAGCAGGAAGCTCAGTGCAAAACCAGCTCCTGAATGAGGAGAATGAGTTACAGGCCTGGGACCAGCCCACTCCTGTCCCTGACCCGTCTGCCCACACAGAGCCCAGTGGTCAGTGAGCAGGAGCTTCCTCAAATACAAAGCTCTGGCCTCCTGGTTGGTGGCAGGGACATGGAGACCTGAATGACCCCTGTGAGCCCAGGAGAAGGCTGAGGCAAGTGTGGGGCAAGCTTTGAGATGGCTGGACCCCTGGGTCCTCCTTCCGCTGGGCTGCTAATTCTTCCTGTGACCTGGGGCACACTGAGGTCCCCTTCATCCCACACAGCCCCGCTGCTGATCATGCTAACTAACTGTGGGTCAGTTCCATCCCTTCTTGACCGAGGTGGCCTCACTGCGACTCCTCCTCACTCTCCTCCTGCTGCCTCATCCATCCTCTCATTTCTTCATTAGACAAATATTCACCAGCCCTTCGCATGCGACAGACAACCCTGCCCTCGGGAAGCTTGCACTCTGGTGGCCATGCCTCCCTGTCCCCTCGAAATGGTCTCTGTCCCACCCCCACACCCATTACTACCTATTCCAATTGTGCCTGTCTTTTAAGACCCATTTTTTTTAATGTTAAGTTCTTCCCCCAAACCACCCTGAATCTCCCCCTGCCTAGAATCTATCCCATGCACTCTCCTCGGTGACCTCCACAGACACGATGAGCTGCACCCTGTTGGCATGTTGCATACAGCAGCGGTTTTAATTTTTTAACGGAGAAACTTTTCTTTTTCTAAAACAATCTTATATGAAGTCCAAATATAGAAAAATGACACAGTGTTTATGGCTATAAATGTATCAATCCAACAGCACACCATTACAAATTCAATCAGTAGAAACGTGAGCCCATGTTTGCATGAGCCCAGCAGAGTAAAGTGTGGAATTACAGATCATAATGGCAATCTGTGTCAGCTTCAGTAGCCAGGTTATTCCCACACTTTGCCTGGGTTTTGTGATATAGAGAAAACCCTGACTCACACTGATACATAACTGCACATTATAAGAAGGTTTTTCCTCCCCTCTTAAGAGCTCAGTTACAACCTGAGGATTGTAGGGTTCCGTGGAACACAGTTTGAAAACCACTACAGCATGTTAACGTTTATACATGTGTCCTATCCACTGTGCCAATGGCGGGCCTCTTGGAGTCAGAGTCAGCCTTCTGGTCAGTCTAAATCCTCCCAGGGCCAAGTTCCTCTGAGGCACTTAGGAAATGTTGAATGGATGGAGGCATCAACCAAAAAGTCCCAGGGTCATCCCAGAATTCAGACCTTCTGGGCTCCCATGTTCTGATGAAGTCTAGCCCAGCCAAACAGAAGTCCACCCAAAGAGTAGAATGGGAATCAAGGAGGCCAGGGTTGGGGAAGAAAAGATCATTTAAACAACCCTGCCCTACTGTCATCGCCTCATTAAACTCTGGGCTTCCTGTCCAATTCCTCAGATCCCTACTGGCCTAGTCCTGGGAGAGGGAAGGTGACAAGACTGGAGGCAGAAGGCAAAAGACCTGGCTTCCTGGTCCAAAGCTGAGTGACCCTCACTGCCCTTTGCCTCCAACTAGTCCTGGATTCTCAACCTGCCCCTGCTCTCTCCACCCCCAAAGAGACCAGCCAGCCAGGATGGGGGAGAAGTCATACTTACTTAGCAGGGGCACCTCCCTCCGTCTTCATCCACCTGTGGAGAGAAAGATGGTATAGCCGTAATCCACTACACCTTCTCCCCGGAGCTCAACCCCATGCATGCCAGACCTTTTGGGGGAAGGCAGAGGAGCCCCGCTATGGGTTGGGGGTCATTCAGAAAAAGAGAACTGTGGCCTGTCTCTCAAGGGCTCTCTCCCCGGTGTGGAGAGGAGAAGCAGATTCAGGGTCAGGGACAAGACAGAGGGGGCAAAAGTGGGTATTTGAGTCCCTGGAAGGGTCTCCAAATTTGTTGTGGGAAAAACTCAGAAAGATGCCCAGCACAATTACTTTCACTCTCATAGACACAGGCAGATCTTCAAGCTGAACCAAAAATGCACACATGCACACATATGTTCACCTGCACACACATGTGCTCACACAGAGACTTCAATGTTCTAGAGCTGGCTGCGGGGGAAGGTGTCTACATGAGACTCACTTTCTCTCCTGTGGATCCAGGTCACAGAAGGTGACGGTGTTGAGAGGGTAGTGTCGTCTGAAGAAGAGCCTGTGGTACAGACATCAGATAGACAAAGAGTGAGTGTTGAAGTGACAGGTCAGGCCACCTTCCCATCATCTGTGGCTGCTGTAGGTCAACACAGCCTCTCCCTTATGACCAAGATAACCTGGGCTGCTCACACTGGGGACATAAGCAATGCATGGAGACAGACAGATATGTCAGAGAAACATCTCTCAAATGCTACAGGTTAGGAAAAGGAGAAAGAAACTGGCATTGAGGGAATGAGAAATGGGGGTACCTTGGAGGAGGAAGGATAGGAGTGGGGGGACATGTTAGAGAGAGCATGAGAGGAAGGGCTCTGCTCTAGAAAGCAGGTATTTTTGTCAGTTGCATTTGAAGCTGTATACCCAATGCAGGCATATTTGTAGAAAGATGGAAAATGGGTGGATAGATAGGAAGATAGATGGAGGCATAAATGAGTGAAGGAATAAATGGAGGAGTATAGACGGGGAATGAATAGATGCAGAGATGGATGGATCAACTGGTGAGTGGGTGAGCAAGGGGATGGATGGATGGATGGATGGATGGACGGACGGGGGGCCAGATAGACAGAGGATGGATGGGAGATAGATGTGTACAAGGCATGAGTCAATTGGTAAGTGGGTGGGTAAATGGAAGGATAGATGGGTCACAGGAGGAGAGCCTAACACAGAAGTGGGCAGAAGAGTCTTACTTTCTCTGGTTGTCAGTCAGTGTAATTCCCTGGGCAGACACTTTGAAGTGAACGATGGTGGCAGCTGGCGTGGGGTCAGCAGCCAGTGTCTCAGAAGTGGCTTTGGAGATGGCCTGTGGCCCAGTGAGCGACTCCATGTCCACAGAGTTGACGAAGAGCACGTTGCAGGCTGGAAGAAACCCACCCAAGGAGACGTCATGGGGGCTGGAGTGGATGGGGATGACCCCCAGGTCCTCTCTTCAGGCCAATCTCAAGCCAAGGCACCTGAGCCCAGAAATGTGGTGTGCACACCCAGAGACATTTGGGTCTGGGAGTGATGTCCAGCCTGCACCTGCAGGAGGGGACAGGGCAGAAAGGAGGAAAGGCCTGGGCAGGGTCTGGCCACTCACCTGCTCCTTGCTTTAGCAGGTCGGTGGTTGAGTTGGCAGGGCCCGAGCTATCTTTCGAGTCATCTGTGGGATCTGAGACAAAGATTTCATTCAGCCAGTAATTAAAATTCTAGACCTGGAAAGGCTCTCCAGTCTGGATGGGCCTACGGTGAGCTCTACAAATGCTTTGTGCAATGGATACTGCTTTTCATATCAGACACTGGCAGCCGGTACATGCGTGTCCAGTTGGAATGGTCAATAACTGCTCGCTGGTTGAGAGGTCTAGATTCCAACAGAGCTGGGTTGAGACTCTCAGCCCAGGACCTGATAAGTATCTATAAAGTGGAAATGATGGTGATAGAAGTGTTTCAGTGGGTTTTTTAAATGCTCCATGTACAGTGTTAGCCCAGTGCTAGGCATAAAGCATGACTTCAAGTGGCAGTTGGTGGTGGTGTTCTTTTGTATTGATGTCTGTGTAGATCGATAAATGCCCTCACTCATTAAACACTTAAATAGCACAATTATAATTTCAATATTAAAAAGCATCAAGTACCATTTACACCAGTGTTTTTCAGACTTTGCTGTGCAGACTTGTTAAAACCAGAGAACCTGATTAGGTGGGACTTGAGAATAGTTGCGTTTTAAACAAGGTCCCGGGGGTGCTGAGGCTGCTGGCCTGGGGATCAGGCTTGGAGAACTACTAGTTTATACAATGCCAGTATCAGTTTGATCTTTGCTGAATTACTTTGGTAAATTCTGTAGAAATATCATTTAATTAGTGTCTAACTGTCATGGTTAATAATGCTATTTAAGTTGCATTTGAACTTTTAAGCTAATAATGCTGGTCAATTATCATTAATAATTCAATGAATCGAATTGGATACATAGAGACTATCAAACAATATTGGAGGTTTTCTGTGTGGGCAAAAACCTCAGGAGCTCCACAGGAGAGGAGAGAGTCCCAGGGGCACTTCTGAATGTCCTATTATTGAACAGAGGGAGAAGGCACCTCGGCTCCCAGTTTGCAGACCTCAAGTTCAGGGCCAAGCACATTCCCCTCCTGTGGGCGCTGTGTGCTTGGGGGCTGGGAATAGAAGCCTGTGCTATAACAGAAGCTTCAATTTGAAGAGCTTGGGGTCCACCTGCCATCCTCCAAGGGTGGGACACCCCTCTGAGAGAAGCTGGAATCTCCTTTGCTGGCCCCAGGTCTCACTCAGATTCTTATCCTCTATGTCCTGAGGCTGTCGGGTTCCAATCAAACGTCCCACAATCAAAAGTGGGCTCGCTCTTTCCTATCAGCTCAGTGTCGCCTCGGTCAGGGGACATCCTGTCAGCCACACAGACTAGAAAACTCCAGGGATATCTGACCGTCCCCTTTCCTTCCCATGCAGAGCCCAGCCACCTCTCCTCCAGAGGTCCCTCCAGAGTGCCGTCTCCTGTCCGTTCAGGCCAACCTCCCACCCCGGGTGCCCCATGACCTAAATCTGCCTCCCCCCTTCCCCACCGACGCGCATCTCACCCTCTGGACAAGGTCCTCCCCACGACTGTCTCCTGGGATGAGGCTTATTCTGATAATTCATTTGAATTTCTTTAAGCCTCTAGAGAATTTTTTAGAACAATCTGGCAAGTCAATTATGTACATTCCTGAAGTTAAGCTTTTTAATAAATGTTTCCTTTTTTTTAAATAGAAAAAAAGAGGTGGTTTCAAATTTCCCCAGATGGCAAAATGACCCATGTCCTCCAAGCCTGGCCCAAGCTCTGGAGTTCTGGCAGGGCCCAGAAACGAAGGAGGCCAGTTCAAGGGTGGGCTGGGAGACGGAGGAGTGTCAGGTTCCTACCTCGGTTTGGAATGACCAGCTTACAGGGCAGGGCCAGCGGGATGATGGAGTGCTGGTAGACCAGGGCAGAGAGAGATCCTGTGGGGAGGGAGATGGCATGTCAGAGCAGCTTTGCTGGAAGTGGGCCGGAGCACCGAGGGGAGCCCACCACGCCGCCATGATCAGCTTCTTCATTACCCTCCCACATCCCACCAACGAAACTGAAAATCCACTCCCTCTTAGTTAGCGAGACCCAAGGGAGAATATTCCAACGGCTCACCCTAGCAGTTATAGGTTACTTAACAGCTTTCCTTTAGAGAAAGTTACTCCCAACATCTCCCCCAAGCCCCTCCATCTGCCGGGGCCCCTCTCAGGACAGTGCAGCAGAGGACTCAAAGAATCGTGGGATCAAATCCCAGCTCAGTCACTTACTAGCTGTGTTCTTGCATAAGCCTAACTTCTATGAACCTCCATGTCCTCATATGTAAAACTAGAGGCCTGATGCACAAAATTCGTGCAAGGGGCTCAGCCCTCACAGCCGTGGCCCTCACAGCCCCAGCTTCATCTGGAAGGTCGTCCGAAAGGACGTCCGGTTTAATTATCATATTACACTTTTATTATTATAGATGGGACAATGGCACCTACCATGCAGGATTGTCACGAGACCAGAAGTAACAGAAGGGACCTAGACAGTGACTTTCACAAAGTAGGTGGTCAATTAAGGAAACTGTTGTTATAGCTATTATTCAAATTACAATGATAACAAGTCTCAGTGGGGTAGGACATCTAACAAGAGGAATCTGGCAGAGTGAAGGGACTGGAGGACAGAGGAAGGGAAACCACTGTCCATTTCTCTGCTGTGTCTAGGACAAGGGGGGCGTGCAGAACTAAGGCGGGGGGCAGAGGGCTGGGGCAGGCCTGAGGCTCTCTGCAAGCCAACTGGGGAGACAGAAGTGGGGGAAATCTCACCAAAGTTTGGCTCGTTGGGGCAGCCCTTGAGCTTGACTCCTCGGGGGCCGGTCTCTATCAGGAAATGTCTCACCAGCTCATGGGTCATGTCCCCTGGGATGAAAAGGAAGAAATGAGGACCAGTCACTTCTCACGGTGCCCTCCCACCACCTCCCACCACCGATTTCTGACTTCTCCAGTGTGCAGGGCTTTGACGGGAGAACCCTGGAATGGAGGGACTGCCTCTCCTTTACTCCCCCTCAAGGAAACGCAATCACAGAGACCCAACAATCTGGCTTCCCCGTTCTCTGACCCCAATCACCAAGCCCAAGACTCACTCTGCTGAAGAGGGTTTAGCAGGGACCAGCTCCCATGAGAATCAGAAACCTGCCCAGCCCCCAGGTCCCTCTGGCTTTGAAGAGACCATATGGATCACCTAGTCCTGAGGCCCAGGTAGAGAAGACAGTGTTACCTTTCTTATTCTGCTGCATGATGGTCGGAGGGGGAGAAGACACCTTCATGGCCAACCCATAGGCTCCTCGGAAAGAGTGGCTGTCACGGATGATGAAGGCCCCGGGCTCCTGGTCCTTCAGCAGAGCGATGGCTGGGTCGGGAAGGGATGGGAGAGAAGAGGAAATAAGAAATATACTGGAGTTGGCAAACTTTTTCTGTAAATAGCCAGATGTAAATATTTCAGGCTTTGCAGGCCATGCAGTCTCTACCGCAACTGCTCGACTCTGCCACTGCCACACAAAAGCAGCCACAGACAGGATATAAATTAATGGATGTGGTTGTGTTCACTAACACTATAGTTACCAAGCAGACAGCAGTCCGGATTTGACCCGGGGGCCGCGTCACCAACACCCTGTCCTATGTCCACACAGACTTTCCCTTGGGGCCTGAGGTGGGCCTCATCTCCACCCCTATAGTCCCAACTTTATTTTTCTGTAAAATATACAAAAATCTCCCATATCATGCAGATGGAGAGCTAACATTTCCTACTACCTTGGCCAGCCTTTTACTTTGCCCAGAAACCAAGACTTTGCTCATTTTAAGGATCCTTCAAAGAGGTGCTTACAATCATTGCTCTGCTCCCCCACACGTCACCACAGCGACTGCTCTTTCTGTCTGACCTTGATCCCAGCCCCCTCTCTATGACCACCACCTACTGCAAAGAGGAAGGAGTCTACTTAAATTTCTTGCCCAGGGGAGGCCGGGGGAGCAGCAGCCAGTTGTGACCTTGGATGGACCCCGGAACCCCCCAGCACTCACCCTGCTCTCTGGAGATCTCGGGTTTGTACCAATACTTGGAAGTGTCCTGGACAAATTTCACTTTAGCCCTGGTCTCTGGGCTGTTGTCTAAAGGAGAAAAAAAAGGGATATGGGTTAAATTGTGCCCCCCCAAAAGATGTGTGGGGGTCCTAACCACGATACCTGTGAATGTGACCTTATTTGGAAATAAGGTCTTTGCATATGTAATCAAATTAAAATCAGGTCATACAGGATTAGAATGGTCCCCAATCCAATATGACTGGTGTCCTCATAAGAAGAAAAGAGACAGAGATGCAAGGGGAGAGCACCACGTGAACGTGGGGGCAGATTGGAGAGATGCATCTACAGCGAGGGACACCAAGCACTGCCGGCAACGAGAAGCCAGGAGAAAGGCCTGGATCAGACGCTCCTCCCTCAGAGCCTCCAGAAGGAGCCAACCCTGCCAACACCTTGATTTTGGAATTTTGGCCTCCACTACTGTGAAAGAAAAAATTCTGTGTCTTCAGCATAAAGTCTGTGGCACTTTGTTATGCTGCCCTAAGAAAGGCAGTCACCTCAAACATCAGCAGAGTATTGCTCAAGGGCCCTGAGCAGCTTTGGCATCCTCTCCGTCCACCACCAACCACCACGTGCCACAGAGCTGCTCTCCTGCTGCCCGTCTACCACCAGCCACCACGTGCCACAGAGCTGCTCTCCTGCTGCCCGTCTACCACCAGCCACCACGTGCCACAGAGCTGCTCTCCTGCTGAAGGGCTGGCAAAGCATTCTCCCTGGGCCAGTGAAGCCCTACTCCACCCCGTCTCCTTTCTCTAGAAGATTCAGACTAGACCCTTCTTGCAGCTTCTTCCCCACAGTCTAAGACACCCAGCTCTAGTCCCTTTCTCCACAGGCTCAATGTCCCAACTTTATCATAACAACCTTGAGAACTGGGCAGAAAGACCATTTCGTTCCACTTCTCCCCAACCCCCTCCTCATTCCCATGTGGAAAGCCTGAGTTGTGTATCATAGAGGGCAAAGGAGTCGCTCCTGCTCTGGAACAAATAGGGGAGGGGGGAGAGACCAAGATGGCGGCATAGGTAAACACCGGAGACTGCTGCCGCAAACAACCACTTCAAAAATACAACTAAAAGACGGAACGGACATCACCCAGAACCACAGGAAGGCTGGCTGAGGAGAGACTCTTCAACTAGAAGGAAAAATAACAGCACACCGAGGCTCAGAGGAGGCGCAGTGTGGAAAAAACTCAGGTGCGGAGGTGCGCGCGCAAAGCGGGCTGGTGGCTGAGAGCGCGGTTGTCGTTTTCGGTCAGGGGGGAGTCTCAGACTCTGAGCTCCAGATACGGGCGAATCGCTGGGGACTCGGACCCAAACGGGAGAAGCGGGAGTGTCTGGCATCAGTTGGAAGGCAGCTTTCCCTCCGAGGTTTGCAGCGGTTCCGGGGGTTCTGAGAAGCAGAGCCTCTGGGAACGGGACTGAGGGCACCATAACCGCCCCCTCCGCCCGGTTCCACTTCTCCCCAACCCCCTCCTCATTCCCATGTGGAAAGCCTGAGTTGTGTATCATAGAGGGCAAAGGAGTCGCTCCTGCTCTGGAACAAATAGGGGAGGGGCTGGCCTAGAATTTGGAAGCCATCTTGTGTGTCACATACCCCACTTCTCTGGCAGATGCTCCCACCCCAGACCCTCTGCAGACCCAGGATGATTTCACAGAACAATAGGTTCTAGAAGGCCCTCTGAGAGCATCTAGTCCAACCTCCTAACTCTAAAATGAGGAAAGTGAGTTTCAGAGAAGGTGAGTGAGCTTCCCAAACCCATATGTGAGCCTTTCCATGGGTAATAGACCTTCTCCTGTTAGACCTTCCCGGGTGAGAAGACCCAGCAGCCAGTTCAGTGCCAGCTACACGATAGCTTCCTGCTAGGTATTAGGATGTGTGCCCCTCGCTCTCCAACCTCTTCCTTTATCTTTGGAACAAAAGGAAACCAAAAGGGGGATGGGTGAGGAGGGGAAAGGAATATTCCAATTGTACATGTTTCCTCTCCTTTCTTGAGAGAGAGGCAGAGCAGAGGGAGCCTGTGTTGATGATGCGGTAAAGCTCAGAGCATCCAGACCAGGGACAGGGGTGGGTTATGTGTCCAGTGCTTAGTCAATTTCAACCTGTCACTTACACTCTGGTAGGCTCCTGGGACCTGTCTCTGGAGGACAGTGAGGGGCTAGATCAGCTCCCTCTCCTGAGCTGTGCCCGGGGGAGGCCTCTGGGCTAGCCAGCTGGGCCATGCAACTGTTGCAAGCTGCCTTTCTCTGCTCTGAAGCCCCAGCCGCTGGTGCTGGGCCTGTCTAATGAGCTGTCAGAGGCGGCTGCAGCCCCATGTGCCTTCCTGTGTTGACTCCAATGGCTATTTTAAGCAGGGAAGATGGTGGGAAACAGGAAATGTCCCAACTACTAGAAGTTTTGCATCCTCCAAGGAGAGGAGCTGGGAACCAGATGTCTCTTGTGGGCAGCAGGAAGCAGGGGCGTGCAGGGTCGCTGTAGAGTCCTGGCTTGGCAGGCTCAGGGCAGGACCCAGTCGTGACACGTTGAGAATCCAGGCAGCTGGGGCCCATTCCAGGCTGCCCGAAACATTCCCGATCTTCCTCGAATGCCTCAGGGCCCCGGGGTCCTCTGCACACAGGCAGGTTCCAGGTCTGGATGAGAAGCTGCATATCAGCTGAGGCTTTGACCTCTGTGTCTGGATAATGAGCCCTCTCAGCGGAAGCCAAGAGGCCGAGTTCTGGTGACGAGTGAAGAATTCAGTGTGCAAACCTGCACAGGCTTCAGTGAAGCTGGCAGAAACTAGACTCCAGTGAAATGCCCTGGCCTTGGCCCATATCACATCTGGCTGCCAGATCTATTATTATGTGTGCACAGTGGGGACCCAAAGATGGGAACAAAGGGCTGGCAAAAGGTTTGGGGTCCAGGTTTGGAAGGCAGAGTGTCAAGGTTATGCTAAATCACCATAACCCTCAAGATTAGGGAAGCATGATCCAACAACTCCAATGTTTTAGGAGCACTGGTTTGGGTAGTATGGGACTGGATTGGCAGCCTGGCCCTGCCATTTCTTAACTGTCTGACTCTGGACAAATGACTGAGCTCCCCAAGCCCGTTTCCTCATGTGTGGCTGTGAGGATGAAAGAGACTGCTTAGCTCAGAGCCTGGCGCACAGCATGTGCTCAACAAGTGGGAGTGGCTCTGGTCATCGTAACAATAACACTGTCACTATTATTATTTTCACCATCCTCATCATCATCGGCAGCTTCATCCCTGCCCCCACAGTCACCACAACCATAGCACAATTCCTTTGAGGACACCTCCAAATCCCATTAAACAGATAAGGCAACTGAGGCCCATGGCCAGTGATCCACCCACGGTTGTCTGCCAGGAGGATGCCAGAACAGAGAGCAGTTCAGATACCCCAACTGGTGGACTTAACCTGTCAGCAGGAGACGCAGAGGTGAAGGAGAGGCCCACCTGGCATGGAGTACTTGGAGAAGTCAGGCAGAGTGTGCGAGAAGGAGACAGTGCTGCCCCCACTGGGACTGGACATGCCACTGGCGACAGGCGAGGACGACACCTTCCCATTGATGGTGGCATAGTTGGGGAGGCTGCCCACTCGGTCTCCCATGGACATCCTCCACTTCTCTGGCAAGGCCGGTGTTGGACTCCCTTGCCGGAAGGCTGCCGAATCTGGCGAAGGGGAGGTGGCGGGGCTGCTCAGGCCCGGGTAGTAGGCAGGAGACACAGGGAAGGAGGGCGTGGAAGGAGCCTGGTAACCAGAGGCACTGCTCTGCCGGGACAGTGTGGGTCTCCGGTCCTCAGGGGTGGAGTAGCCGCCATAGGCCACGTGCCGATCTAAGCTGGGGCTGCCAGGAACCACGGATCCAGATGCTCCGAGATGACGGCCCAGGATGGGGCTTCCGGGGCTGGATATTGTGTTGCCATGGAGATTGGAGGCCAAGTTGCCCTGGTGGGCTCCAGGATGCCGGCCCAGGCTGGGGCTCCCTGGAGTGGTGGCCACATTACCAGGGAGGCCTGAGGCCTGGTGGGCCCCCGGCTGCTGGCCGCGGCTGGGGCTCCCTGGAGTGACAGCCACACTGCCATGGAGGCCTGAGGCCTGGTGGGCTCCAGGGTGCCGGCCCAGGCTGGGGCTTCCTGGAGTGGTCACTGCACTGCTCTGGGGGCTGGAAACCACATTACCATGGAAACCAGTTGCTGGCGGGCCCATCACCTGGCGATGGCTCAAACTGGGGCTGCTGGGGGCAGCCATGCCAGGGTTGACAGCTCGGCGGCCAAAGCCGGGACTGGAGGGAGTGTTGGTGCCCACTGTCCTGTGGCGTGCTTGAGGGCTCCCAGGGACTGCGTGGACACCAGCCGCATTGAACTGAGGCCGGGCCTGGCTTTCTGGGGAGCTGAACTGCTGAAGTGAGTAGTCGGGGCTGCTGTAGCTGCTGCCCACGGTTGGAAGAGGAGAAGAACTCTGGTAGCTTCTCTGAGCCGAAGGGCTGGGCTGGCCCAGGCTGCCAGAGCGGAAGCCAGAATCCAGCAGAGGCTGGGTGGGTGTCCGGGGGCCCTGGTCACTGCTCTCCCCCGATGGGAAACTCCCCACCGAAGTGCTAGAGAGAGAAAGAGCGGATTGAGATGTCAGCAAATGTACTTAATGAAGAACAGGTTTCAGTGAGCAGACTTCCCTCCCACCACTAGCACCAGCAGTGAGCTCCACTTGCACGCATGGGAATGTCAAGGCTTTTACATCACCCTATGGCACCATCAGAAGAAACTGAGGCTCAGATAGGTTAAGCAATTGGCTCATGATCACACGGCTCATAAAAGACCAGGGTTTCGAGTCAGCTGTGTCTGATTCCAAAGCACATGTTTTCCCCGCTGTACTACTCTGGCTCCTGAACCAAAGTCAACGCGAGGAGCTCTCTTCCATCGAAACTGAAGGTGACTGAGTCTAATGAACAAAATAAACTAACAAAATAGAAACAGACTGACAGCTGTCAGAGGGGAGGGTTGGAGGGGGGCTGGGTGAAAAAGGTGAAGGGATTAAACCAAGGGGGGAAAACTCATAGACACAGACAACAGTTTGGGGATTACCAGAGGGAAAGGGGGATGGGAGGAGGTAGAAGAGGGTAAAGGAATGCATGGCGAAGGAAGGACACAATACAACATACAGAGGATGAATTATAGAATTGTACACCTGAAACCTATATAATTTTATTAACCAATGTCGCCCCAATAATGAAATTAAAATAAAAAAACTGTAGGTGACTCCTTGTCAACTCCATATCACAGAAACTGAACACTGGAGAGGGGGCCAAACCACCGGGATCCCGTTCCCACTGGAAATGTCCCACCCTGATTCGGTCTCCCCAGGTGTGCCATCATTACCTGCAAATGTTGTGGGTGTCAGAATTGTGCTTTCATTCCTGGGTAGCTCCAAAAACCAAAGATAAGGAAGTCTCATCGAGGGAGATTGCAGCTCATTATAAGGTCTGCTCTCCAGCCATTGGATCTGGCCAGTAACAGAGCAAGCTGCCTTGCACAGTAATGAGACTCCCATCACTAGGAGCATTTAAGCAAAGGCTAACTAACCTCTTGACCTGACTGTTGTGAAGGGAATATCTTCCATTGGAAGGTTAGATTAGGAGAGCTCAGAGGTCGAACCCAATTCTAAGACTGATAAAATTCCGTTTGGAGGAGAGTGTGCCTAGGGGAACGGCCACAATCAAAGGTTCTCCTCTGAAGTTAAGTACAAGATCAAAGGGAAATATAACGCAATGGCCTCTGAGTTGGGAAACTTGGATTCTGCTGTTCAAGTTTTCCCATATGAAAAAAATAAGGGGGTTGGGTGAGATGACCCTGATTCTTTCCAGATACAAACTTCCATCCCTCGATGACATGGCAGGAGAGACAAAGGTTGGCAGGGACCTCGCCTGAGCAGCAGCTGCAGGGTGGTGGCAGGCAGGCTCTGCACCAGGAGGCCCAGGGGGAGGAGGAAGCCCTTAGGAAGACGATGGGCCAAAGCCTGGAGCTGGCGACTGGGAGGATTCGCCAGGCGGCCAGCCCACTGTGAACCGGTCGGATAAGCTCAGGTCTCCTGGGTGATGTGAGGTGGGGGGGGCAGGCAAGAGCCAAGGGCCGGGTGAAGTCAGGGGTCAGACCAGGACAAAGTCTACCTCCCATTGCAGAAGGGGCCAGATTGGAAGAAAGAAGCAGAGACCCAAGCTCTGCCTCCCAATGCGGCCACCTCAGAATCTTCCCTCCCAGCTTCTGGAAGAAATAACCTGTATTCTGAGGCGGGGAGGATGTGTCAGTCTGAGTGGGACAGGAGTTTTGGAAGATCAATCCCGGGGGGAAAACACTAGCTTCCTGAGCCCCGACAAGAGCCAAGATCACAGCCGGAGGCATGTGAGTGGAAACTTCCTAATGGCAGGGCTCTCCGAACGCCAGCAACGGTGGCTGAGGTGAGGAAGACCCCCCCCTTCCTTTCAAAGAAGACCATACCTCTGCCCAAGGCAGACCGCCCGAGAAATGGAGCCGTCTGCCCCAGCAGGAGACTGGAGGGGCAAGGTGGACTGAGGGTGGGGCATGCTGGGCTCGAGGGTTCAGAATTCTTAGAATTCTAAGAATTCTGGCTGTGCCGTCCTTCTAGAAAAGCCCTCTCCCTCCCGCCTCACCTTTTAACACCATGCTCATCCAGCCCCAGAAATCCTCCCTGCACCCCTAGTCAGGAGTCACGGCCCCCTGCTCTGGGCTCTGAGAACTTTACTTATGCGCCTGCTTTGGGCACATCTGACTGATGGGCACCGTACCCAGGTCTGGTCGGGAGGCAGAGACGTGGGCTCCCAACCAGAGGCCTTGGGTCTGAATCCTATTTCTGCTACTGCTGAGCTGCAGGACTGTGAGCAAGCTACTTCACCGCTCTGTGCCTCAGTTTCCTCTTCTGGAAAGTGGGAGTGATAATAGTACTTACCTCATAGGATCGCTGTGAAGATTGAATAAAATAGCCACAGGACACATTTAGCCAAGTGCCTGGCCACAGGAAGCATGCTCTACCTAGCGATTGCTGCTGCTGGGTTTTAACCTTGGGGGAGCGACCCCGCCTGGTTCACCTTCACACCCCCATCCCTTCCCGCACAGTTCTGGGTGGTGGGATTGAGCTCAGCCTGGGCATTATAGCTGCCCACGGATGTGGCACTCGGGGGATGCTCTCTCAAGGTGCCCTGAGGAGCTGGTTTCCCAGGGACAGCATCTGGATGTTATTTCTGCCTGTCCACACCCTGAGCAGATCCGAGAGGCCTCACCCATGCTGGCCCAGGCCTGGATTCTCACCCCCGACATGCTCCTCCTCCCCACTTACCTGTCAGCGCTGAGGATGGGGCTGCTGGTGGAGAGGGGGCTAGGGGAGACAAAGGAGCCGCCCAGGGTCCCGTTCCTCAGGGGTGTGTCGTGGCCATAGGCCTGGGCAGCTGGGGCGCTAAAGCTCTTGGGCTCAGGGTCCTGAGATCGGGGCCCAGCCACTGCCGTCCGCACCACCGACTCGACGTAGCTCCGGGGCTCTGGAAGCAGCAAGGAGACAGAGACTGAGCACAGATCCATAGGGTGCCATGGAGACCCCATCCAAACTGCCAGGGCGCCCACCTCTCCAGAGTCCAGCCTTGGGGACAGCCAAGCACACAAAGGGCACTTCTGGGGCTCCTGCCAGCCCATGCCCACCCCTCTTCCGCATCTTGGAGAAGCTGTGGGAGCCCCACAGAACCTTGCCATGGCCTCGCTCAGACCTCCCAGGAAAGGGACCCCAGCTCTGCCTCCCAATGCGGCCACCTCAGAATCTTCCCTCCCAGAGCCAGGATGTCCATCCCAGCTGGCATCCCTCCCAGCTGCTTCTTTTCTTTCACGACTCTGCCCTCAGCCCCCAGGCCCTTCTAGGTACTCCAGGACCGTTGGAGTCTGGGCTCTCTGTGGACCTAGAACTCCAGCCGGCCTTGCCCCTATCTGGACAGCACCAGGGCTTACATAGGCTTCACCCCACACCCAGGATCCCGAGACGGGCTTGCTGTCCTAGCAGCAGGCCTGCACCGGTGAGTCACACCCAGCCCCTTCATGCCAAGCACACCCAGCCTCCTGCCTGACACACTTCGCATTCCTCCCGAGGCTGACACCATCATCCCCACGTGGTGTTCAGAATATCCTAAGAGGAAGGGGGTGGAGGGACAGGGCCCAGAAAGGTCATCTCACAGATGAGGACCCTGAGGCCTGGAGAGTGAAATGTCGGGAGGCCTGGCCAGGGTTCGTCCAACTCCCCCCTCTGAGGCCAGCCCCAAACTAACTCGATATTAAGCAGGGAGAAGCAGCAGGACGCCCTGGGCTTCTCCAGGGACCTGATGAGGGATGGATGACATCCTCCACCTCCAAACCTGGCACGGGGTCCCATCTCCCTCAGGAGGGACGTGACTGAGCACAGACCCACCCTCTGCCCACAGTGCTGGCATCTGCTGAAACTACCCCGAGGAACCGAAGAACCTGTGCCTGCCGGCCAGCCAGGCCCCAGTGCCTTTGTGGCCAGGACTGTGCTGATCACTGAGTCAGAACAGCCCCTCCCTTGGCCCAAAGAAAACACTACTTTGGAAGGAGCCTAATCACCACGGCGTTAGGGGCTCCTGGGTGTGGCTTCTGAAGTGACCTCAAGATCTGACATTGCATCCAGGCCCAGGGTCTGGGAGCTCTGTGGGCAACCAGCCAGAGGCTGCCAGCGGGGCCTAGTTTTCACAGAGTTCCCTCCAACCAACAGCAGGGGCAGTGGATGGGGGTGGGGCAGGATGTCTGCAAAGGGACAGCTCGGAGCAATCTATTCCAGGTACGGGGTGCAGGGTGATGTAGCCCCAGCCACCTCGGCACTCAAAGCTAGAGTCCATGTGGGCAGAGGTCAGCAAGGCATCAAGACCCCGCTCAACCAGCCCATGCCACCCGCCCACTTCACAGAAGCCCCAGGCCACATCCATTCCCAAGGCATTGGTGCTGTGCCATCTGTGCCCAAGGCCCTACTGGAACCAGGAGATGCCACAGAGATCTTCTGACCCGGGACAGGCGCACTTTCTTATAAAGGACCTGGTAGTAAATATGTTAGGCTTGGTGGTCGGACAGCCTCTGACACAACTACTCAATTCATTATTGCAGAGTGAGAGCAGCTGTGGCAATAGCACATAAACCAGTGAGCGTGTCTGAGTTGCAATAAAACTGTCTTACAAAAATAGATGGTGGACCAGATTTGACCAAGTTTGCTTACCTCTGGTCTAACCCATCTCCTCAGCCCAGAGAGGTGTAGCGATTTGTCCCAGAACACAGCCAATTAGTGGTTGTGGATACTAGCACCACAGCCTCCTGATCTCATTGGTGGCTCAGGGTGGCCTAGAGAGGGGCCACAGTCTCATGGGGGCACCCAGAACTGGCTGCTACCCTGAACTCCAACCCATCACCCAGAGAAGAGTCAACTCCACAGGGCTATTCATAATGATAAAAATAGCCCTGGCTGGTATTTCTCAGTGGTTAGAGCGTTGGCCCACACACTGAAGGGTCACGGGATCGATTTCGGGTCAACGGCATGTACCTGGGTTGCATGTTCAATCCCCACTGGGGCACATGCATGAGGCAACCAATCAATGTGTCTCTCTTACATTGATGTCTCTCTCTCTCTCTCTCTCTCTCTTCCCCCTCCTCCCTTCGTCCCTTCCACTCTCTCTAAAAATTATTGAAGAAATATCCTCCAGAGAGGATTAACAAAATAATAATAATAATAATAATAACAGCAAACAATATATGAAGAAAGTAGGATTTGGGGAATGTAAGTATCTTGCCCAAGTCATACAGAGGCAGTGGGAACCAGGTGGTCTGGCCCAGAGCCTGCTCTCGGGCCCACGGCACATACGGCCAGCTGAAAATTGGGGAGCTGATAATTTCAGTGTATCGTTAGCCTTGGAGGCTGGCTCTGTGTCCTGGGGTAACCCAGCTTGGCAGAAGGGGGCCTCACACCCTCCCCACCATTCCTCACTGCCTGAGGTCACTCTTTCTGAAAATTCCTCCTAAACCCTTCCAGGCTCCCAGCCTCACCAGGGTCCCCACAGCACTCGGCACACTTCTCTCCCACCCAGAGACGGCCGGAGGATCCATCCGCCCCCTTGTGCAGTGCCTGACACCTAGTAGGCCCTAGATACGTCTCTGTCCCACAAACTAGCAGATGCATGATCTCTACCCTCCAGCCCTACCCAGACGAAGGTGCGTCATAACTAAGATCTAAGAGGCACACATTCATTTTTCTCATTCCCTGGAAGTCTTGTTGACCGCAAAGCTCAAGCTAAAACCCACATGACCTCTGAAGCGTGTGCTCTTCTCCCACCAGCAATGGCCCCCGGGTCCATGTAGACCTGGGTGAAGTCCCTTTGCTCAATCTCTGCTCCTCAGGAACCCAGAGCAAGAGGGACTTGAGGAAGTTATTTGATTTTCTGAGTCCATCTCAAGAACTATTCAAAACCAACCTTTTAGGCCCAAAACTCAGTTTTTCCAAGTTTTCAGATGCAGATTTCTATACTGAAAATTCCTCCTTTTCCTGTCTATTCCTGCCCCACCCCACCCAGTACCATGTACAACTTGTGGGCTTCCATTTTTCTAGTCCACTGCCTTAACCACTCAGCCACGACTACTGCATGGGCTCACTTGTTGTATGGGTGACCTGGGAGAGGCTGTTGAACCTTTCTGGGACTCCGTTTCCTCATCTGTAAAATGGGAATGAGAATACGCACCTGCCCAGCCAGGATCAAGTGATAGGAGTTCCTTCTAATTCTTTCTTGGTGACTCCAATCAGCTGTTTACACTCTGCACCACCATTGCTGGCCTGTGCCCCTGCCGGGCCTGAGCCCCAACTGGGCCTGCGCCTGCCTCCCTCCACCCTCTCTCCTGCTGCTTCCCTTCTCTCCTCCAATCCTGGGGCAGCTGCACCCAGAGGCAACAGGGTTGGGCAGCGGGGCGGGAGAGGTGGGGCCAGGGAGGGTGCTTCATGTAGAACATTCCAGGAGCCCAAACCCATTCCAAGTGGCTGTTGGCGGCTGAGAGCAGCTGGAGACCCAAGAGAGACTTGGCTCCACCAGGCTGGGGGACTGTCGCCTCTTTACCCACACCCTAAAGTGCATTCTCTGCCTCCCAGGAGAGGCTCTTTGCCTGGACAGGAGGGCGCCTGTCCACTCCAAGTAAATGAAGACTTGTGGGTGGGGGAGAGGGAGGAAGTAAAGAGACTCCCGAGTCCCAATCCAGAAGCTCAAAAGTCAGAATTTCAGACCTTTTCGATTGGGCCACATGCTACTCCTCTGAGCTCCCATTACACCCCAGCCCTACCCCACTCAGCATCCCACCTGATGCTGAAATCTCACTTGTCTTTATACCCTCAGTGCCTCGGACAGGACCTGGCACATAGTAGGTGCTCAATAAGTCTGCATCCCACAGCCCGGCCCTAAAATCCCAGGTGCCACAGAACACCCAGCACCAAGGATATCAGAGGAGGAAGAACCCCAGGAGGGGACATTTCTAGACCCATGTGTCTTCCTTTATGCAAAATCGGTGCCCTCTAATCCTCTGGAGGAGCAGAACCTAACCTGAACGCCCCCTTTCCCTTTCCTCCCTGTGTCACTGAGTATATATTCTGGATGTTGGCCTCACGTCTTTATTGCTAAAGGCTTTCTTCCTCTCCTTTCTTCATGAAAGAGTACCCAGTCCCCATGCCCAGTAAAGTCACTGTTTATGTTCAGAGGTTGTGCCCATGGCAACCACATGGAAAGGGACATCATCCACATGCTGATCCAATGTAGGATCTCAGCTGTGCATGACTAATGTGTGGGCCTAGACAAGTCATTTAACATCCCCAAATGTCATCTCCTCACCTGTAAAATGGGGTTCCTAGCACCTTCTTCTCATGCTTCTGTGATTATCAAACAAGATGTGAAGTGACCCCACATAGTCTTGTCCCTGCCCGTTGAACCCCACTCTATACCACAGTCCCCCTAGTATCCCTAATTCCAGCCTGCAGCTCCCCCTTGCTCTCAGCCTCACTGACTTTGTAGTTCCTACAAAAAACATGCTGTTGACTCCCATCCCAGGGCCTTTGCACATGCCCTTTGCCTCTACGTGGAATGCTCTCCTCCCATCCCAGTTCCACCAAGTTAATGTCACTCACTCTCACATCTCACTTCTTCAGCCAAGATCAGGGTCTTTGCTGTAAGGTCACATAAAACTTCATCCCTTCCCTTCAGAGCACTGACCTCGATATGTAATTCTGGGTGATCATTTAATTCTGGCTCCTGTTCATGCATATGCTCCATGAGGATTAGGAACCACTATATCCCCGAAGCCTGGCACAGGGCCTGTCCCATAGTAAGCACACAAAGTATGTATTGACTAACTGAATCAATGAATGGCAGGATAAATTAATAGGAGCGTTTAGCATGGTGCCTTGAACGGAGCAGAGTCCCCTGAAGTCTTTCTTTCCCCTGGCTGAGTAATTCTGCCTCTGACCACTTTTCTCACAGGCATTTTTTTTCTCCATCAAAGTGTCAGCAGGGAAAGCAGAGCTCCAGAGGGTCAGCAAGGAATGTGCTTTCGTCTGACCGGGAGGCAGTACATGAGTCAGGAAAAATGAAACTGGCTGCCCACAGCCTAGCTCCCTGCCCGACCCACCCCACTCCTCAGGCCATGGCAGCAATTCCAACCCCCACGCTGCACTCCCAGGGCGCCGTGCCTGGATGCAGGAGGAGGGCTTTGAAATGGCCACTTGACTAGGAGACAGGAGATATTTCCACTCTCAGCCCCACTGCCTCCTAACTGTGGCCTGGGGCAGATGCCCCCACCCTCCCCCACAAGCAGGACCTCAGCTCCACAGCTGTGAAATGATGGGTGTGGCGGGGCTGATCCCTAAGAACCTTCCCCTCCTAACTCTGTGGCTTAAGGACAGATGGTAGCAGGGGAGGGGGGACTGGAGGCCTTGTAGGTGAGAGTCATGCATGTGGACAATGGGCAGGTCTCAGCTCGGTATTTTAGATACTCACTCCTCTAAAAGGTCATCTTAGAGTGGAAAAGAGCCAGGGCCTGTCAGCCTGTGGGAGAGTCCCCCTCAAACCTTCCCACAGGAGAGGGCTTGAGGGCCCACCAGTGTGTTGGAGTCAGCAACCACGAGGAGAGCGTGGGTGGGCATCTGAAAGACACGGACGCTGGCTCCGGGGCCAAGCTTACTCTACACTCCTGTCCCAGCTTCCCTGCCTGTCAGGAACCAGCCGCCAGGAGCAAGCTGCAGCTCACCCCGCTCTGGGATCGGTTGCTGGAGTGCCTTGTTCTGCAACCTCCAGGCAGCCTGGCGTGGTTGCCCAAACTCAGGCTGAAAGTGGGCAAAACTTTATGGAATCTCCAGCCATCTTGCCTGGGGGATGGCAGATTCAGAGCAGCACAGCACATGCCCTCTTTGGGGGTAGAGTATCAAGGCGGTAAGTGCAAAGGAAAGCAGAAGTGGGTTTAAGAAACCCAGGCCACAGGGACCTAGGGTCCCAGTGGGAAGTCAGAACATCTAACATGTCAAGCTGGAAGGTGCTTCTACACTCATCTAAGCCGCCCTGGTGGAGATGGCCTGACCAAACCAGGTGCCACCAAACCACACCCAGGCCACCCAGGCTAGCACCCCGCTGTGTTTCACCTGCTGCTGAGTCATCATTTGAACTCTGTTCCTAATAACGTAAAGGCTTTCAACCAGACTGCATCCCCTTTCTGCTTCCCAATGTACAATGTGGAGTTCATCTAAATTAGGGGTTAGGTGGAGACACAGACACGCTAACGCCTTAAAACCACCAACATTATGTGTATGGTATCCAGATGCACAGGGGTGGGTCCATAGCTTTTCTGAAATCCCCAAATGCATCAAAATCCCAGAAAAACAGACCTCCTACCATTTGTATTGATAAGAAACCGGGCAAGAGCTTCAAGAGGTCAACTCATGGCTCTAAGACAGTGGTTCCGAGGGGTGACTGTCCCCTTAGGGGACACTTGCAATGTTGGAGACATTTTAATTATCATGAGTAGGTGGGTGCTACTGGCATCAGGCAGAGGCCAGGGATGCTTCTAAACATCCCACAATGCACAGGGCAGCCCCACAACTAAGAATCATCCGGCCCCCAATGTCAGTAGTGCGAAGGCTGAAACCCCTGTTCCGAGCTCTGCATGCGGAGTACACCCAGGAAATGGAATAATGAGCCCCTGCCCTGTGTGAGTCTCCTCGCCCTCCAAAGGGGCTTGCTGTACCCCAGGAGGCTGGCAGAAATGCCACTGGGGTGGCAGCGACAGGGGGTGTTTTGTCAGCAAGGCACCTGGGCACTGGCCGCGCCTGAACCCGAGCCACGAGCTCCTCAGTCAGGGCTCAGGCGGTTTCTGGGGGACAGCTCATCACCAGGGGGTAGGGACCAGGAGGCTATGTGCCTGGTCCCTTGAGACGTGGTCAGCAAAGGGCTGCCCCCGGCCAGCCAGCCAGCTCTGTATGAAAAGCCATTCCCAGACCCGGACAGCGGGAAGCAGCACACAGCAAGCCAGCACTTACCTCCCAACGGCTCCATCACCTCCTGCCCCCCATCCTCCTCTGGGGAAGATGAGAAGAGAGGTGGGAGGAAAGAGAGGCAGGCGATGAAGAGGAGAGGGAGAGCAAAAGGGAGAGAAAGATCAATTAACAGAGATTACTTCTTGAAAGAGAATTAGCTGAGAAAAGGGAGGTGGGACAGCAGGGGTGAGGCTAGGGCAGCGGTGACTCTCCACAGAAGTGCCCCGAGAGGAGGGGTGAGGTCCACCCTGACAGGACCTCGGGTTCCAGGGCGCCTGGGCGTGGTGGCAAGGTGCTCGGGGCACACAGTGTAAAGAGGGCCTGGCTCCCAGGAGCTGCAGGCCCGGCCCCCATGGCTCTAAGTCCAAGCCATCCTTGTCACAGCCGCTGCTCAGGGCTCTGTCAGGCTGGGTCTCAAGCAGGAGTGTCCTGGCCTGGTGAGAGGCCGCCCCACCCCCTCTTCTCCTGTGACTGTGTCCCTGGCCATGCAGAACCTCCTGAGTGGGAGGCTGTGCCAGGCCGTGTGTCTGTGGGTCACACACACATGCCATTGCGCTCCTACCTGGCAGGATCAGTCTTCTGGTGACTAAGGAAAAGAAGCCACGTTGGCCCCAGAGTCCCAGCCCAGCCCTAACACCCGAGTCTAGGGAGCAAGTTCTGGACTCAGCCTGCTGGAAATGGCCACTGAGGGCCCAGGGCCCCCACTTTCTCCTTCCCCCACAGGAAGGAGAGGAGCGGGGAGATGTGATGAGGAAGTGGGAGGTGTGAGCCTGGTATGAGTGTGTGTGGGCATGCCTGCATGTGTGTGCACATGTGTATGTGTACACGAGTGTCTGAACACCGGGGCACGGGGCAGCCTGGCTTCTGGCAGAGAGCTGACCAACTCCAAGGAAACCGAGGCCAGGCCTCAAATCCCCAAGTCAGAGGATGCTGGGAGTGGTGCTGACCCCACAAGTCAATGGGCAGGAAGGCTGCAAAGGGATCTCCCCCCTCAATCCGGGCCTCAGCATGGGCACAACCCAAGCTGCCAACTTGTTTCCAGGAAGGTCTGGATAACCCACCACCTCTGGGCCCCGCCCAGGACCACAGGGGTCCTCCGAGTCCCCACTCCTCCCTCTGGCCTCCCCACCGTCTCCCTTCCAGCCACAGCCACTCACCGCCCTTGGGATGCAACAGGATATCTGCTGGGTTGTGGGGTTTCAGGCCCAGAGCAGACAGGGGTGTCTTGGCCAGACCTGGAGGGGAGCGCACTGTGCGGGGAAAGAAGAGGGGAGGCATGGGGGGTGAGTCGGGAGGTGTAGGGGAGGGGGGCAGGAGGGAGGGTACCCATTGGTGAGGGCTCATTGGGAAGAAATGGGCCACAGGAGCGGGAACAGAGGAACCAGTCCCAGCCCAGGAGCGCACTGCTGCGGCTCCACTGCCCTTCCCTGTCTGGGTGTTTCTCTGCAGTTTGAAGGTAAACTGAGTCGGGATATGGTGTCCTTGTCCTGGCCTTGCCTCTCCACCTTGAAAAAATCCTTCCTTTCCCTAGGCCCTTAGTTTCTTCAGTACAGTCCCTTTACATGCCATGGTTTTACATACATGCAGGTTTCTTTGGCTATCTCTGATTTTTCCCATATGTTATTCCCTCTTCCTCCTCCTCTCCCCCCACATATAGTCTTTCTAAGCTAGGCACTTAGATGGACTTAGAGAACAAAAGAAAATGGAGCATCCAGAGGGCACATCCTGTCATGGACAGATGGAGGAGAAGAGGTCAGTGGAACCATGCCAACGCTGAGAGCCCAGGCCAGCGGCAGCCAAAGGTCTTTGACTCGCAACCAAGCGTGTCCCTTGCACACTCCAGGCAGAATTTCTCAGCATGGGGCCCTCTATTCCCCAAAACCTCAGTGTTCTAGAAGAGGGAGAAGCCCAACCTCCACAATCCTCGGGCCAGAGCACCAACTCCCTGCACTAACCTCAGGTCCCTCCCAAGCCACATGTCCAGGTCAGAAGTGTCACATAACACACAAGGTCAGAAAGGGCTGCCAGGCTTTGTCCCACCAGCCAAGGAAGAGGCCAGACTCTAAGCTGATCTACAGAGAGATTGTTACACCCAGTCACGAGATTTTTCAATGGCGGCTGCCATGTATCCTAACACATCTCCAAGGAGAAGCAAAAAAAAAGAGCTCTGTTTCTGCTATCCCGGTCATCAGGAGCCTGCAGAAAACATGAGCTCTGAGGACACGCAGCCACACAGATCCGCCAACCGAGGCTGCCTGCCCCGCACCCACAGCCTCAACAGACTAGCTGTGGCCCTCAGCTGTCCCCCAAAGCAGCTCTGGGACTCTCTCTGGCCCCATCTCCCTTCCCCAAAAGACAGTGAGACCTACAGGAAACCAACAAAAAATATAATCTCTCAAGGCAAGTAACCTATATAACTTCTGTGTGTTTGCAGGTGTATAGGTACGTGTCTGTGAGCATAGTGAGACATCACAGAGCTCCAGTGCGTAGCCCACTCCTGCCCTCCACCTCACTTTGTCCTCAGATGCCCAAAAGATAAATACAGCAGAGGGGACAACTGTGTACAAACACACAGCCGGGTATTGGGTAGGTCTAGGCATGGTGTCTGTTGGTCCCTCCCTCTCCCTTTACACACATACACAGAAGTGTCTTGCCATAGACACTTATCAGCACATATTAATGTTTTTCAGACAATGGATTTCAATGCCCAACTTCAGAGGCCACGAAGAACCATGAAAGCTCTCCAGGCCCCAAGTGTGGGATGTTTCTCTTGTTTCCCCTCATGCATCTCCAGCTCCCTACTTGCTCATGTCCCCAGTCTGCAGGACCTGACCCTTCTCTGAGGCGGACCAGTGGGTGGCCCTAAAGCCAGGCAAAGCTTTTGCTTCAGGGAGAATTCCTTGCATTTCTCTGCCTCTGCCCTCTCTCCCAGCCCTGTGCATGGATGAAACCTCTAACTTACTCTCCCCTCCCCCTCCAGGGCACCCAGGACTGACCAAGGGGAGAAAGAGAAAAACTGGGAGCGTGAACAAGTAGTAAAACCCAACCCAAGCTCAGCCTACAGGGCTTCCGTCCCAAACGGAGGATGGCCAAGATCTTGGCTATTTGGACTGATAGGGAATTAGAGTAGGTGTGAAGGTGAAGGGTAAGGCCAGGGAGAGACTCCACGGAGTCATAAAAGGCCACAGAGCTGCCTCTTGAGTAGATTGCCCAGGGCTTGCACTGTCCAATAGGGTCACCATGAGCCACATGGGGCTATGGAGAACTTGCAATGTGACCAGTCTGAACCGAGAGCTGTAACACAGAGATTTCATAGATTTGGTGTGAAACAGGAGCACAAAATATCTCAATATTTACCATTCCATGTTGAAATGATAATATTTTAGATCGCTGGGGTTAAATAAAATCTATTATTAAAATCCATTTCACTGGTTTCTTTTTATATTTTTTAGAGATTGAAAAATACCTCATTACTATTTTTATAGTGATTTACCTGTTGAGATGATAATATTTTGGATACTTGGGGTTAAATAAAAAAGATCATTAAATTTAATTTCTCCAGTTTCTCGATATGTTTTTTAAATGTGGCTATTTGAAATGTTTAAATAACAAACGTGGCTCGTGTTATATTTCCTTTGGACAGCATTGCTCTAGGGAGAGCCATGGCCTCCAGTAATGACGTCAGCTTCCCGCATGCCCCAGATAGCAGGCGACACAAGTTCTACTGGAGCAAGGGCCTGGTTCTGGTGTCAGCCACCAGGAGAACACAGGGCCCACGCCCACCCAGCTCTCCTCCTCACACCCCTCCCCTCTCACGGGGCAAATGCATAGACAGCTTGGGCCCAGCCCAGCCAACCCGATCCCAGAGCAACACCAGTCCCCCCTCCTCTGCCAACCCAGGCCTCTCCCGGGAACCCTGGAGCCTTCACAGCCCAGTGTTGTTCCTTCACTGCTTTCCCACAAAGCGCTTCTCCAAGCTCCTCTGCACGGTCTCTTCCACCATAAAAAGGAGCACTGTCCCACTCCTGTGCTCATCCAGCCTTCTCTTTGGGTGGGAACCTCTCTGACCTTTGGGGATTTGCCTCTTTGGTGAGTGCATCGGGGGTGCAGACTAAATGCTCCCGCCTGAAGGCAAGGATGGGAGAGATGGGACTCAGTAAGCCTGAGCATGCGGGGCCTTTCTTTCCTTGACAGACACTGAATGACCGGCCCGGATGCACACAGAAATGGGCATTAGAAGCAAGAAGGTTAAGGGTTGTCTTGCTTGTCACAAAGAGTCACTTTAGGGTACGGGATGTTTTCTATGGAGGATGCAAAGTCTCAACGTCTAGGAAAACTCCACACCCAGGAGCCCAGGGGCCCCAATGTCAGTCAGTGGGACCCTAAGACGTCGCTGCTGTCTCTGTAGATGTGGGGGTGTGGACCACAGAAAAGAAGGGAAATGGGGGTGGAAGAAGTGAAATGAGCCTCAGGGTGATTAAGGACAGACTGTGGCTCTGCTCAACTTTGCCAGCACCCCCACCCCAAACCTGGGGAGCTTACACAAGCAGGGGTTGAGAGGGGCCCGAGGTTGACCCAAGGAAGACAGGCTTAGTGGGGAGTTCTTACCCCCACTGGGCGGTGGACTGGATGGAGCGGTTCCCTCCATCTCCTCGAAGGCCTCTTTGTAGCTGTGCAAGTGGGGCTGCAGTAGAAAAACAAGGGGAGGAAAGGGGGTACATTAGTGGCCATAACCTTGAGAAGAAGGTGTTTCCCAGTTAACCAGGCCGCAAAGCCCCTCGCCAACCCGACCCTCCACCCCTGCCAGGTGAACAGAGATCAAAGGCAGATGCTGCCCATATTCATGGCCCCTACAACGCCTTGTAGCCAAGAGAACGGAAAGTGGTTATTTTGCCAGGCCATTTGTAAGGCAAGGCGGACTTCAGGAGCACTTGCTTCGGAAATATTTGAAACAGGGCCAAAGTGAAGGGCTAGGGGCAGGGGACATGGGTCCTAGCAGAAGGCAGGAGAGAAAAGATATCCAAAAGCCATTCATGTCCAGAATGACTCAGCCTGGATTTTATCAGACATGGACTACTCGCATCAGAACCTTCCAGAGTGCACGTTTAGAATGCAGGTTCCCCATCCCAGAGCTAACACGCCGGAACCTCTGGAGGTGGATTCGGGAATCTACATTTTAACAAACTCCCGGTGATCATTATGCACATTGAAGTTTAAGACCCAATGCCTCAAACCACTGAAATGTCTCAGCAATGCAAAGGTTTGAGCATTGAAGTTAGATCTCCAGGGAAAATCCTATACCTAGAAAGGGCTCAAAAACACTTTGTCAGACTCTATGATCTGGTTTGAAGTTTACAGACTGTGGTCGCGGTGTCACACCCAGATTCTTACCAACTGCTCAGGGAGCTCTTTAGGAGTCAAGAAGGGAACTCAATCTCAATGTTAATGGAAGACACGAGGACATAAAAACTATTTAGGGAAGGAAATGAGCTCCAGGTTCCACATGCTGAAGCCTTGGGTGAGGATGCGGGGAGGAAAACAATTACTAGGTTACTGATAGGTCCGTGCTGCCCAGTGGACCATCATGTTGGGCCCTGCTATCTTCTGTGGCCCCAGCATGTGGTCTAAGGACTCACCTCTTTGGGCCGCCCTCCAGGATTGAGAGCAATTGTGAGAGCCAGCTCCGGGGACACACACTGGACTGGGGAGCGCACCCCAGGACTCCGGGGGGATGAGGGTTCTGGAGACTGGTTTTCATACTGTCCATCGCTGGCTGCCCGCCTCCGGAGAGGGGCTGGGGGCTCTGCAGGCTGCTTCTCCCGAGCCTGCACCCCTGGGAGGAACGGCAGGGCAGAGAGGGCCATGAGCATATTGTATGAGAAAGGATCGATGGGGCCTGATTCCCCCAGAGGAGACAGTGCACACTCAGGGGCCATGCTGGAGCTGGGCCTGCCTCCCTCTGCACCTCCCCCTGCCTCCCTCTGCCCACACCCTGGGTTTCTCTGCAGGGCGGGGGACCTGCTTAAGTTGGGTTGGCCTTCACCAGGAATCTAGTCCGCACAGGGTTGGGGCCCAGAACACAAAGGACTGATACAAGAAACAGATGTCAACTCCTTCCAAGGCCTGGAGGCAGAGGGCCAGAGCTTCCAGGCAAATGAGGGAAGGTGGAGGGAGGAGAGACAGTCTCCAAGGCGACTGATCAACCAACAAGCAACATCAGGCCCATGGGGGAGAACTTTTGGAAAGAGTGCATAATGCATCATCTTGCAAATGGTGCTCCCAAGAAGGAACAAAGAAATGACTAAGTCTTGTTATAAAGTCTCCAGTCCAAACTGGCCCCTGGAATATTGCTGACCTTCTCCGGGGTTCCCCAACCTCATCCAGTGCACTTCTGAAACCTCTTACCAACTTCCCTTATGCCCGTCCTTGGCTACCCACCCCTTTCTTGCCCCCAAAATGGTCCAGGGTCCTACCCTGCCCCTCCCAGCAGAATAGCCTGCAGAGCTGGAGTCATGAGCTCCATCTGCTTTTCTGTCCTTCCTTCCATTCCTCGGGCCTGGGGATGTTGTTAACCCCACCCTCCTTCCTTCCCACTCTCTCTTCCCACAGCTGGGCTGTGGCACGGAACACATTGCCTCACTGAGCTGGCTTCAGAATCCTAGAAAACTTACCCTCCCCCCCCACCCCCGGGTCCCAGAGACCAAGACTCAGGCTCCTAGTCCTGATCAGCTCGTGCCAGCTCTCAGCCCTGCCCTCACCCCCACCCAAGAGCAGGGAGGTGCTGGGACTTACCAAAGATCACATGGGACTGAGACCCTGGCCACACCAGCCCCATGCCAGCACACCTGGGAACCCTGTCCCATGGCACACATGCACTCACACACACACGTACGCACACATACATGTACATGCACCGCACACACACATACACTGCTGGCCCCTAGGAATGTGCCGGTGCAGCCAAGCAGCAATCACCCTCCTTCAGACCGAATCATCTACCACCCAGAGTGGGGTCTGCACACCACGGGCGGCCTCCCAGCTCCCGTCTGGCATGGACGCTGAGGCTGCCATGAGAAGCACATGCTGGGAAGCCTTCCTACTTGCCATAAATAGCAGGCTGCCTGCTGCCAACTCCAGGGACAGGGGCACATACACACACACACACACACACACACACACACCCACACACACACACACACCCACACACACACACACACCCACACACACACACACACCCACACACACACACACACCCACACACACACACACACCCACACACACACACACACCCACACACACACACACACCCACACACACACACACACCCACACACACACACACACCCACACACACACACACACACACACACACACACTCCGACACACACACTCATACTTGCCCATAGTTAGGGGCCCCGTCTGGAGAGCCGCCGGACTGGCACACACACTTACAAATGCAGAAGTTACCCGGTGGTGTTTCGAGTCTCCACGTGGAGCTATTTATCGTTAGGGGGCAGCCTGCCTGCCATCTCAACTAAGAGAAAAGAGCCCAAATGGGGACTGTAATCTGGACTCACAAACTGTTTTATTTAAAGAATACAAGCCCTCGCTTTGAAGTGCCCTGACTTTCAGAATAGAAACTTGGGGATCACATCATCCTAACCAGGGGCCAGATGAAAGATGGGGTGCATCTCCGAAAGTCTTGAGCAGCACACAGGGACCCCATTGCATACTAGGCCTTCAGCCCTCAGAGCAGCCACCTGCACCCCCCACCATGCCTGCGGGCACCCCTACCCTCGGCTGCACTTCTCTCTCTCCCTCCAAGCCCCCTTCCCCTCAGCCTTCCTGGGCGCTTGGTTCAGAACTACTGCTGGTTTCATTCCTGGCAAAAACATTAGAGAGAAACAGACATAGCCATTGATTTTCTAATAATAATTGTGACAAAGGAGGCCCATTTGGAAAAGGCTCTTGGGGTTTGGAACTGAGTTCAGCCCCAAGGTTAACAGAAATGCATTAGGGCTGGTTTCAGTTCCGGCTGGCCCAGCCCCGCAGCCTCTTCCTGGCAGATCCCTGTGCCTTGGTGAGGAGTGGCCCGTTTCCCTGTGTAGGATCTGATGTCTGCCCTTGAAAGTGGGTCTGTTGGAGGCACTGAATATCCCAGAGGAACAAAGAACCTTCGCCCCAGTGTGCCCGTGACAACCTCCATGTTCAGGTGGTTGCAATGGCTGGAGGGAGGCTGGGCTGCTGGAGGGGCTTACCAACTGTGGAGGGCAGAGATCCTCACAGAAGGCTATTGGACACCTGAAGGCCATCTCCCCTCTTCCCAGCCCCTCTCTAGTGCCACCAGAGCAGCACATGGGAGCGTGGTCTGTCCAGAGGCAGAGGGACAACCAGAATGACCTCCAAAGAGCGAGGGCGCTGCAGGGGAGCCTCCCTCTACAGGAGGGGAAGACCCCGCATTCCACTCCCACGGGACAGCCCCTCCCCCGCAGAGCGCCCCACAGCACCAGTGCCCAGCCAGGGCCTCTCACATTCTTTGAACACAGTGTCTCACTGTTGTCCCCCTTGGCAGGCCCAGATCTGCCCCTCAGTGCCCGGAGAGCCATGTTCCCTCTCTCTTGTCTTTCCCTATGGGAGGGGAGATGAAGCTGGGCGGAGGGGAGAGAAGAGAGCCCCATTGTTCCCCAGCCAAGCTGGGCCGTCTGGCCAAAGGCTGACAGCCAGTGTCAGAGAGAGAACAGCCCTCCCTCACGTCCTGGAGACTGACCGATAATAAAAATAGGCCTGCTCCCCCACCCTCAACCCCAGGCCTTTCTGTCTCTAGGGCCCTCTCTCTCTCAGGGCCACCATGCCTATGTGCTCCACTCTCTACACGCACACAGGCACCACGCACATACACGTATACACACACGTGTGTGCACACATAGCCTTTGCCCAACAGGAACAGCGGGAGGTCAGGGTCACCCTCAGAACCTCTCGTCAGCCCCTTCCTACAGCAATCAAGTGTTCTTTAGGATAATGATGGGCCACACTCAGAGCCCTTTGTCACCCTCTCAGGGCTCACACACCGTGGGCACTGGGCCTTCCCCACCGCCTGCAGGACAGGGGTCACTTCAGCCCAGGGCCTCCACACGAGCCGCCAGACCTGAAGAGCAGGGCGCCGGAACAGCCCCATTTCCCAGGGGTCCTCACTCCGCTCTCCAGATGGTGTTGAGCTTGGGAGCAGCTGGCTGCAAGGCTCCCCCCTAAAGCAGGCTAGACCTGTGACACTAAATCCACCTCATCTAGCACACACACAATCATACTCTCACACACACACTCATACACACACTCACACACACACTCATACACACTCACACTCATACACACACTCACACACTCATACACACACTCACACACACACTCATACACACACACACACTCACACACTCATACATACATGCACGCACACACACTCATACACACATGCACACACAAACATGCACTGCAATTCTGGGGCTGTAGTTCTAACACCATCAATACACACCCTCTGGTAGGGTCCAGCCCTGACCGCCCCTGGTCCCACAGACAAATATCCCCAGTGTCAGGCTTCATCACAGGCCTTCCCTTCAAGCCCATCCTGGCCGCTTCCACCCCACAGACCCAGCTCTTCCTTCCAGCCTTCCGATTTCCAGAAGACTGGATTCCTCAGCTCCAGGTGGCGGGACAGGTGTCCGATGGCATGCCGGGGCTCCGGAAGTGAGGGGATCCGGGAGGCCACCTGCTGGGCCAGGGCACCAGAAAGCCACACGGCGATCACACTAGCAGCCCCAGGGCAAGCCATGCCAGCTCCCCTCAGGACAGGCCCACCACCCCAGAACGGCCCCAAACCCCAGGCCCAGCTGAACCCTGCACTCCCCACCACTGGGCCGAGAAAAAGGAGGAGGGAGAGAAGAGGAGGCAGACAGGGGCATTCTGCTAGAGCCATCTCCCCATTTTCCATGGACTGGGAGAAGGGAGGTCCAGGAAATACCAGATATTGCCATTGGGAGTCAACTGTGCCCACCACCCCCTAATAAGCCTTTTCCAGGAACTAGTCAAGGTCATGGCATCTTCTCCTGGGCTCAGGCCTGCAGCTCCAAGGAGCAGGGAAAGAATAAGGTGACTCGGTCCCCAGGTCTAAAAGGCTATAGGTCCATTTGTCAAGAGACCAAGGTAGACACAGTGAACCCCATCACTCTCAAACAGAGCAATCTGGCCCTTGATGAAGGGTCCCCCCATGTTGGGAAGTACCCACAGCAGGGCAGTGATCCCTCCATTTTTCACATGGGGAAACTTAGCTCTGAGCAATGAAGAGACTTGCCCAGGGTCACAGAGGTGGTCACGTCATACCCAGGGCCACACCCAGGGCTTCTGACTCTTGGCCGTGGGTATCAGAGATTTGGAATGAGGTCACAGCGGTGCTCTGTCTCCAGGGAGTGCTATACTCAGGAGTGGACAGAGCAGCAGGAGCTGGGCATCACTCTTTGTCTCCTGCTGAGGCCCCAGACCTGGCGCTGAGCTCCCTCACTGCAAAGGCCTGCGTGTCCACAGGGAGCCTGAGAGTTAGTCTCCTTATCCCAGACCCTGTTCCTAGCAGGTAAGGCCAAGGCTGGAAGCATCAGGCCTGTGTCCATGCAGAAGTGGGAGCACTCACTCATGCAGAAGGAGGGAGGAGGGAGGAGGGACAGGTAGGCAAAGAGAGAGAAGGGGGCAGTGAGAAAAGGAGAGAGAAGGGGGCAGTGAGAAAAGGAGAGAGAAGGGGGCAGTGAGCAAAGGAGAGAGGGTCAAAGAGAATAGGAAACAGGTGGAAAGAAGAGAACAGAAGAAGGAGAAGAAGAAAAGTGAAGAAGGAGAAGAAGAAAAGTGAAGAGGAAATGGAAAAATAAGGAGAGAGGAAGAAAGAGGCAAAAGTATGGAAGAAATAGTCCATGAAGGAGGAGGGTAAGAGAGAAACTGAGAGCTGAGATAAGGGCCATGGAGTTATAAAGGGGAGAGGAGAGGAGAGGAACCAACCAGAGAGGGAGGAAGATCGGAGCCGGTGGAGAGGAGGGTGCCGGTAGCTGACACTTAGCCCAAGACCCTGCAATCTGGCGTTGTACGCTGCCCACACCACCCCGGGGGAGCCGGCAGGGATGGGAGGCAAGCAGGAAGGGAAGGGATGACACCAGGCAAGGAAGGCACCACACCCATGGCACAGGGGACAGACGGACATGGGACAACGAAGAACGCAAGGAACCAGGCATTAAACAAGACAAAACAAAACAAAAACAAAGAGAAAATCAAATTAGTTGGTATTCTGGTCACACTCTGGAGGGAAGGGGGAAGAGGTCAGATAAGAAGAGAGGATGGATCTAGGATCTTACTCCTCCAAAGGGCAGACAGACCTCCTGCTGTTCGGCAGGCCACCATGTCCCTCTAATTTCTACCCCCAGCCTGGGCCCAGGAGATTTCAGTCCTGTTGCCCCACATGTCACCTGCCCCTCACAGTCAGCATGGCCCCACCCTGGGTCCTCTCTCCTCTCATGGGCACCTGCCTCTTCCTGGATTCAGCTGTGACCATGCCAGGCTGAGTCCAAGGGTCCTACTCCCTGGCATCCAAGCTTCCCTCAGCCCTTTGTTCTTCCATCACACCTACCATAGAAATCCTGCTCTGTGGGATTTTCTACTCCTGCCCAAAGCTGCTGGGCATCACTGCAAAGTCCTTAATGTGAGCCTGCCTGGATGCACTATGAGGATCTGCTATGTCATCCCTTCATTCACCCTAGCTGACTCCCAAGCCACCTTCACACTCACGGCCTCCCAGTGACCACTATCACTGGCTTCCAGGGACCCACGCCCTTTTAGCTTTCCTCCACACGTCACAAGCTGCTCCACAGCAGTTTCTCTGCTGGTTCCTCCTACGTCCCTAACTGCTGAATGTGTGAGATGCCAGATGCACTCCTGGGACCTCTCCTCTACCTGTGCTCACGCTCTAGGAGACGGCATGCAGCGGCATGCTTTACATGATAGCCACACAATGTTACCCTCACATTTCTAAGCTCGATCCTCCCCCTGAGACTCCTAACTTTTATGTCCCACCATCTTGGATGTTTTGTGGGCATCTCAAATCTAACATGGCAAAAGTCACACTTACGATATCCCCTCTAAGCCAGCTCTTCCTATATCGGTACCCATCTCAATAAAGAACAACTCCAGCCGAAACCAGTTTTGCTCAGTGGATAGAGCGTCGGCCTGTGGACTGAAAGGTCCCAGGTTCGATTCCGGTCAAGGGCATGTACCTGGGTTGCGGGCACATCCCCAGTAGGAGATGTGCAGGAGGCAGCTGATCGATGTTTCTCTCTCATCGATGTTTCTAACTCTCTATCTCTCTCCCTTCCCCTCTGTAAAAAA